CGGTGCTGACAACACCAAGTCAAGGGTTCGGATCCCTATATAGGGATGGCTGGTTGGCTCACTGGCTGAGCGTGGTGCTGACAACACTGAGCCAAGGGTTAAGATCCCCTTACTGGTCGTCTTTAAAAAATAAATAAATAAATAAATAAAAATAAATAAAAATATAGATGACTCAAAACACTGATACAACTAAAATCAATTCTTTGATGAAATTATACAGCTTTACATACATAACTTAGAACAATGATTTACTCTTTAAGTTATTAGAGCAAAATTAACTGCCCAAGCCACTAAAATCCTTAGGACATTAATAAACTTAAGTGATGATATTTGCCAAAGTTGTGGAAAACTGGTGTGCTTTCTAACTTTCCACCAAAACATCATTGCACAATAACTGCCAGAACTTCTAAAGAGATTAATTTCTTATAGTATCCTTCTTCAGAAAGTGAACTAAGGAAATGTAAGAGACAGTTATAGTTTAAACATCCCAAAAGAAGACTTAATTTCTTATAGTATCCTTCAGAAAGTGAACTAAGGAAATGTAAGAGACAGTTATAGTTTAAACATCCCAAAAGAAGAAATATGTAAAACTGCAATAAAGACAAATACCAAGAGAAATGCTCTGAGATCTCTGTATAAAAAGACATAATATTCTTGCTAATAAAAAATATTTACTACTTAGGTCAATAAATGTTTACAAAGAAGTGAAGCTCAGATGGTCAAGAAGGTGAAAAGAACAAGAAATCAACGGAGAAAAATACTTCTTCAATTAATATTAACAATGTAGCCAGAGGTAGGTGGTGTAACAAAGTAATGGCACAAAAAAACATACCACTTAAAAGTAAATATTATAAAGTTGAAAGTATAATAGTTATGGAAAACTATAAGAAGAAATTTTATAACTAGGAATAATGAAAACAACAGTTTATGTTCTAATTTTGACAAAGAAGAAGAACACAAAAGAGGTGGTCAACATTGAGAGGACTCTTCACAGAAAATATTCCAATTTTTCTACACTAATAGAATTTCTTATATCAGGGTAACTTTTATGTATACAATATATTAAATGCAATCATAATTTATATGTAAATATTTAAAATAAATATTCTCCTTTATCTATTGTATTAAAAAAACCCTTCTGATCCTGAATCTCCAAGAATGACCTAACTAGGAATAGTGAGTCCCATACAGAACATTATTTTTCCTCTGCAAAGTGAATGTCCTTTACAGCACAGTTTCTTTAAATCAGATCCTTTTAGAAAAAGGGTGTTTTCTTTGAGATACAGTAAAATAACGATTCAAAAATTTCTAACTTTTACATCATCAATATTCTTGAATGACAAATTAGCTTCTTAGCATAAGATGTTCTGCCAGAGAATCAGCAGCTTTGGAAGAAACACCTTCCTTCATAGGAACAAGAGGTCTTCGAGCAGAATTGTTTAGGCCAGGCATGGTGGCATATTAAACGATCCCAGACAGATGGCCTTTGTTAGCACAAACTGATTCTGAAAAATTAATCTAAAATCGTTAGTGTAAAATTATAAATAAGCATCATAAAAAATTTCATAAGTAAATTTTGCCTTATAAATCACCATTTTCCACTTAGCTGTAATAGCGGTCTTCTAGTCCCACTTTTATGTCTAGAACTCACCATTCCTCACATTCCTCAGTCCATTCTCCATTTAAAACATAGATCATGTCATTAACTTCCAATGACTTCCCATTATACTTAAATTTCTACTTTTTTTCATCTCATAGTTTAGCACTCTTTCCCTCTTCAATAAAGCATATTAATCATCTTCTAGGTCCTCAATCACACCAAATTTGTTTCTCTGAAGGCCTCTGTACTTTATTCCCTCTGCCTGGAATGGTTGGCCCTGATATCTTCACTAATTAGCTCTTTCTTGTGATTCAGCTCCCAACTCAAACAACACCTCCTCAAAGGTGATTTCCCTAACCACTCACTCTAGAGTAGGCCTCAACCATTCTCTATCACCTCAGATTACCCTGTTTTTGCTGTTCTTAGATGCCTTAAGTTATCTTGCTTTCTGATTTGTTTCCTCTGTTCATAGTCACTACAATATAAGCTACAAGAGAACAGAGAATTTGTCTTATTTACTGCAGTATCTCCAGGGCCTGGCATAATGCACACAGAGCCACTCAATAAACATATGCACAAATGAACAGGTAGACTACTTTAACCAAAATTTTCTCAAAACACAAACTCTGGTCTCTGACCTATTATTAAAGAGTATATTCGTACAAATTTATAGCAGGATAACGTTTGTAAAGTTTTATGAATGAAATGAAACTGTGCACTTTCTATAGATACAATGATTAGTTATTTTGGGTGACACAGTTTGGTAGGAGCTGAGCTTGGCATTTGTTTGGTTTTACAGCTGGAGAACTGAGGTCAGACAGTACAATGTAAGAATTAAGAATAATAAAGAAAAAAACCCCAAGAATATGTCAAAGAAAATCCACAGAACTGCTTACGTCTCAAATCACACATAGGATCTTCAATGGAAAACTGCTATAACTTCTTCAAATTTGTTTTTAATATATATTTGCACATAGCACTTAGTACACTGCCTGGCATATAGTAAGTACTCAAAAGCAGTTTGTTGGATGGATCATAGGTCCTAATGACATAATTATAGTTTAACAGATGTAATCTAGAACCTGTATTTTGTTTTAAGGCAGTACATTTTTAACTTTCTGTATTAGATTCATAGTCTTCATATTTAGCCTTGTAAGCAAACCCTTGCCTCTTCTAATGAAGTGAATTCTCACTATAGCTTTCTCATATATATATATATATATTATTCCCACAGGAAACAATGACCTCAGATAAACAGATCTGAATAGCCTTTTGCCATTTTACAGCGTTGCTACATATGGAAGTGAAAAACATCAGCAGAATCACCTACAGACAGCACAATTGTGTTTCTATTCCTGCATGTATACGAAAAATATCAAGTATCAATATCAAGATGTATCTTCTTACTGGCCAGCCACCCAAAAAAAGAAAAAAAAAAAATCTAGATGTGGAACAAAGAAGAAAATTAAGTTGTCAGCTTAAGAGAAATTCTACAGGTTTAAATCCCATGCTGCACTATGTCTATTATCTATCTATATTAGCTCCCTTCTAATGCTCTATGGCTTTTTAAACTATTAAAAAAATAGAGTATTTAAGTCCTTCCTCCATAAATTCAAGGTGTTATCAACATTTTTGAGAGGCAATAATTACATTCAGCTTTTAAAGCAGTTTCAGATGTATCATATCAAATAGAAAGTAGGAATCAGTAATAATAAGTCTTAGTCTATAGTTAATTTGCCACTGGAATTCAGCTCCACATTCAAAGAACAAATGATAAATACTAAAGGACTGATTAAGTAGGCTGATATGGGGTAATCATGAATAAGGTAATGAGAAAAAGAACTAAGATAACAACATACAGAAGCCAATATATTTGTTTCAGAATCACAGTTCAATGAGAGACATTAAGAAGCTTTAATGTTCTTAAACTTCTTCATGAGCAAAAAAATGAATGCAATACTGATGCCTTTCATAATTATACTTCATAATGCTACAGTGAGGACTCAATGAGATAATGTATATAAAAGCAACTTACAAAGTATAAAACCAAGTCATATTGTGCAGGAGGAAGAAGTTAAATTTACCTTTATATGTTCTAAAACAGCAGTGGCAACATTCGTATGAAGATCAATAAGTCTCTTTTTTTCAAGGAGTTCTGGCAAAGAACTACAAGTACCAAAAAATTTGAAAATTAACCATTACATTTTCTAAGAAAATGATACAGACTTTAGTAAAAACTCTTGCTTGGGTATTTCCTCTGAGGAAACTCAGGACAATGAAACAATGATAAAATGACAAGTTAAAGTGTCTATCAACTGAATTTAATGCTTTTTATTTTAAAATAATCTGGCTCCCAAATATCATTATTTCTACCATTTCACTTTTTGATTGCAAAGTTGGGAGGTTTAGAATAAAATCATATTAATGGAAACGTCCTTCTACCTATATTTCTAAAACATGTTTCCTCCCTCCTTCTTGATGGCATTCAAAACACTGAAAAACTGCTTAACCTTTAGTTAAGAAAATAACAGCAGCAATAATAAAATTAATAATAAGTTGCCCTACTTTATTACTCACACTATTTTCCTAGTAAAGTTACTCTCATTACACATTTCTACCTGTGAAAGAAGCAAATGATCTGCTATACACGAGGGAACTAACATCAGCTTGAACATGTTAAAAGCATAATTTAGTTCTTTAAAATCATAAGTATATTTGCAATTACCTACTATTTCCTATCATTAAAAACATTAACCAAATTTTTAACCTCTAAAATAAACCTTATCAACAGAAAGATTTCAAAGAGGATCTGCTGCTTACTTACCTAACAGCTGATGTTAGCTTAGCAGTATTGTCGGAAAGCATACTTATGGCTCCTTCATCTTCCCCTTCTAGTCCCTGGGAAAGAAAAAAAGGTCCTAGTAACTGCTCAGAAATACCAGGCCAAGCATAAAAATCAACACATTACTAAGATTATTGTAATTTTTCTTCTCTGAGGAGCAAATATATATATTTTTGACAATTACAGAAAAGTTCTAGTGACCACAAGTCTAATAAATGGTTGGATGACTAAAGCATTAGCTGGCATTTTCCGATAAGAAAACAGGCCCAGAGACTTGCTGTAGGTCACACAGTAATAAATAGTAGAGCTGAAATCTGAAGTTAGATAAAAGTACAGTACAATGAGCAGCACTGGAATACATATCTCTAAAATGAAGCTACATTAGAAAGTTTTTCAAATCAGAAATTCATATTATTTAAAAACATGTTGCTCTTCTCAATATTTAAATTTATTTTTGAAAAAGATCACTTACGTAAGTTAAGAATATTTTTGTTGTTATTAAAGCAATAAATGGCCTTAAATTCTTATGAGAGAAAAAAAGCAAACTTCTCTATCCCTCCAGATGTCCTTCTTCTCCATAGTTCTTAGAAAGCAAACAGAATCTTACCATAATGCTTTTAAGTCGTTTGACCTCATCTTCCTGTGCTCTATAAGATTCCAGTTCTTGCTGAACTGATTCTGCAACTTCTGGGAATGGACTTACGGTACAGCAAAACAGTATTGGCACAAGAGGAATTAGTATTAACATTAGAAGATTGATTTTTGTGTGAATTCTGAAATATATACAATGAAAACTATTATTTTAAATACACATATGGATTTGAATATATTTTATTTATAACAAAGGCAGAAAATTCAGCATAAATACAACTACGTATCTTTCTTATATTTATAAAATACTGTCTCTTTAAAATGCATATCTTAGGGCCGGCCCGGTGGCGCACTGCTATAGTGCGCCGCTTGGGAGCGTGGCGGCGCTCCCGCTAGGGTTCGGATCCCACATACAGGCCGGTTCCTGCTCACTGGCTGAGCGAGGTGCGGGTGCGACACTGAGGGTTGCGATCCTGTGGCCGGTCCCGGTCTGGTACGGGCGCGACACTGAGGGTTGCGGTCCGTTGCCGGACACGAAAAAAGACAAAAAGGAAAAAAAAAAAAAAATAAATAAATAAAATGCATATCTTAATACTTATACATGTAAACAAATTTAAATTTTATTTCTACTCTTTTCATTTATAATATATTTTCTCTTCACCTATACACTGTTAGAAGAAAAAGCAAAATATTTATGTTACTAAAAATCAAAGGAAGAGAAGTCATTGCATATTAAACATCAACCACCAAAATTAACATACACGAGTAGTGTCAAAGGGTCCATGCAATCACAACAATGGCATTTAAAAAATATCACTTGCAAACAATTGTGAAAAAAAATCTTGTAACTCAGTACTCTTAATATCCCAGAATAAAATAAAAAGTGGTAAAAATAGCACCTGGGCCACAGTTTTGTTGGGTCTAATGCCTGATATCTTCCTCCAGGCCACTGCAGTTTAGCAGTAATCTACATGGACTTTAGACACAAATGATATGCAATCACTGAGCAGCTCAGGTAGGAAAAGTGACACACAGCACTAATCTTGAAAAATTCTGGATGAATATATGTTTAACATGAAGTTATTACTAAAATGAGTACATTTCATCTACAACTTTAGGGGAGATGGGAAACTTTTTGACCCCGAGACATGGAGAAGGGGACCAGACCCCCCTCCTACAACCAGGCACATCGAACCAGCACTTGGGGTCCTGCCCAGAGACTCGAGGCATGGAGAAGGGAACCGGACCCCCCTACCACAATCAGGCACACCATGCCAGCACCTCGGAGCCTGCCCAGGGACCTGGGAAATGTAGAAGGGGACCAGACCACCCTCCCTCAACCATGCACACCATGTCAGTGCCTCGGGGCCCACCCAGGGACCTGGGGCATGGAGAAGGGGACCGGACTGCCCTCCCGCAACCAGGCACACCATGCCAGCACCTCGGGGCCCTCCTAGGACATGGGGCATGGAGTCAGGGACCAGACCGCCCTCCCACAACCAGGCACACTGCACCAGCACCCTGGGGCCTGCCCGGTGATCCGAGGCATGGAGAAGGGGATCTGACCCTCCTCCCACCACCAGGCACATGGAGCCCGCACTTTGGTGCCTGCCCAGGGACCAGAGGCATGGAGAAGGGGACCAGACACACCCCACAACCAGACACACCGCCAGCACCAAGGAGCATGCCAAACATCACCTCCATGTGGGTGGCCCACCACAGCTACCACAATAATCATGGCTGCCGTGAAAGCGGCTAGATGCCACAACCACCACACAAATGGTCTGCCAACCACTGGAGTGCATTCACACAAGGAGAGTCACCAGCAGAGACAAAGAAAAGAAGAGGCTGTCTCTCTCCACAAAGAAAAGAAGAGGCTGTCTCTCTCCACAAAGACCATTTCAGAGTGACAGAAGAAGCATCTGCTCTATGATAATATTGGGGGACCTGATCACATCTCTCAGCTTTGGACAGATCATCTAGGAAAATTCTTTCAGAAGGAGAGAAGTAATCTAGCATAATTAGAAGGGGAAGGGGGGAGGAAATGGGGGAAGAGGAGACATTGGACAAGGGGCATAAATAATAATTACAATTTGTAACAATATATATGCTAGCAATATTGATTTGATCAACATATCTCAATGTTCAACAACCAAAATATGTATAATCGATTTTGATTCAAAAAAATAAATTTTTAAAAAAAGAAATAAAAATAAAATAAGAAAGAAACGAAGAAAAAGTCATGTCTCATTAGCAATCAAAAATCTTTTTCCCCCCTTCCTCAGCTCTGACACTTGAAAACACCTCACTGATGATCAGCACATTTCACCCAATGGAGACTGGCAGAAAAAACAAGTTTAGAAATGGTCCGCAGAACACAGTCCAATTTTACCTGACAAGCCCGGGCACTTACCACAGCTCCAGCAGAATCTATGTTGGCAAAAATAGCACTGAGGCCTCAGAACTGCACTACAGAGTCAGAATCCCTTGTTCCATCTGGTTATAATGAAAACTAAATTCAGAGGCAAGCTCCCTCCCTTTTAGGACCCTAGCTTTATCTGTAAAATATGCTGTTTAAACCAGATGACCCTTTAAATCTCTAATATCTTCTGGTCTCAGAGCTAACAGAATAATAACTGCTTACATCTACTGAGTATTTACTGTACGTCAAATACTACACTAAGAATTTATCTCTATTATCTCATTTAATACTGACCAGTCTGTTGAGGTAGGTACTATGAACAGTTAAGACAAGGAGCTTTGCGATCTGCCAGAACTGGGTTCCACTCCTGACTTTGCCAGTGAAAGCTGGATGGTTTGGGGCAAGTTATTTCTTTATATTTATTATCTCACTTAATCTTCATAATAACCTTCTGAAATAGGGCAATAGGGAGAATTACCATCTCCCTATTTTACTTATGAGGAAACTGAAGCTCAGAGAGGTTGAAGTAACTTGTTTAAATCTCTGCTGTCTCCCAGTGTCTTTGGGCCGACATTACTATTGTACTACAATATGCAGAGTTAGAGTGCTACTCCTACTTTTGAACGTAAGGTTAAAGTTCATACTCTTAACTGAACTCAAAGATTGTTCCTAAACATATGGCCTAAAGAAAATATGCAAAATTTTCATATCTGAATTAAGAGATTTTTTTCTTAAGCTTTTCTCTATTAGAGAATGTCAACTTTAAAATATCCTGTATCTTCTACAAATAATGCTTCTCTAATGAAATGTAATTTCTTGTACTTCACCATTCTGGAGGAAAATGAAAACTATGGAATTCCAAAGGGAAGGATATTATTTATTTAAAACAAGTTATAATAGTACCTAAACTGCCACAGTCAGAAAGAGGAAGACTTTTCTCTGCTGAGAAAGTCAAATCTTTGTTACAACAATGTGATTTTCCAGTTTAAAAAAAAAAAAAGGCAAGCAGCAGAGCATGCCTGGGGACCTAGGCAGGAGCTGAGGGCAGCCATCTCTGCCCAGAAGCAGGCAAAGAGCATGCCCAGGGTCCTAGACAAGAAGCCAAAGGCAGTACCCACACCCAAAAGTGGGCAAGAAAGCATACCCAAAACACCACTTCCATTAAAGTGGCCCACCACAGCTACAACAGCCACAGCTGCTGAAAAAGTGGCTCAACGCCACAGCAGCAGCCACAGCCACCATGCAGGTGGCCCACCAGACACTCGGCTGCATTGACACAAGGAGAGTCACCAGCATAGACCAGAAAAAGAATTGGATATCTCTCTTCTCAAAGCCCCTTCCAGAGTAATAGAAACAACTGCTCTACCAGATGACCAGACATCAACACAGTGACACTAGAAACACAGAAACCCCCCAAAATATGACACCACCAAAAGAAAACAGTAATTCTCAAATACCACATCCTATAGAGCAGGAAAACCTTGAAATGACTGAAAAAGAATTCTGAGCAACAACCTTAAGGAAATTCACTGAGATATGAGAAGACTCAGTTAGACAACAATGAAACAAGAAAAAAAAATCCAGTATATGAAGGAGAAAATTTACAGAGAATACCTTAAAAAAGAATGTAGTAGAACTCACAGAACTGATTCCTTCAATGAAATAAAAATCACAACTGAGAACTTAAAAAAGCAGGCTAGAACAAGCAGAAGAATGAACTTCTGATCTTAAAGGACAGTCTTTTTCAAAATAACCCAGGCAGACAAGAAAAAGGAAAAAATTTTTAAAAATGAAATCTAAAAAGGCTAGCAGACAACGTTAAGTACACAAACATTCAAATCATTCAGAAAGGGAGGAGAAAGGAAAAGGCATGGAAAACCTATTCAATCAAAATAACCCAGGCAGACAAGAAAAAGGAAAAAATAATTTTTAAAAATGAAATCTAAAAAGGCTAGCAGACAACGTTAAGTGCACAAACATTCAAATCATTCAGAAAGGGAGGAGAAAGGAAAAGGCATGGAAAACCTATTCAATGAAATAATAACGGAAACTTCTCAGGTATAAGGAGAGACATGGACCTTCAGATCTGGGAGGCTCAAAGATCCCCAAACAGATTCAACCTAAGAAGATCCTCTCCAAGACATGTTATAGTCTAACTGGCAAAGTTTGAAGACAAAGAGAGAATCTTAAAAGAACCAAGAAAATAGTGTTAAGTCACTTATAAGGGAGCCCCTATGAGACTAACAGTACACATCTCAACAGAAACTCTATAGGCCAGAAGAAAATGGGATGATATATTCAAAATACTAAAAGAAAAAAAACTGCCAGCCAAGAATACTATATCCAGTAAGGCTATCCTTCAGATATGAGGGAGAAACAGTATATTTTCCAGACAGACAAAAACTGTATGTGTTCACCACCACACAACCAGCCCTACAAGAAATCCTCAATGGAATCCTTCATCTGGAATCTGAAAAATGATAATCACTACCATGAACACACAAGAAAGAACAAAACCCACTGGTAAAACAAAAATGCAAATGACAAAGAGGATGAAACCAAATCTTATCATCACAAAAAGCCATGGTAGCAATATAATAAATAAATTCTGATGTTAGTAATTTAGATATTTTCCCTTTTTTTCTTGCTCAGTCTAGACAAAGGTTTGCAAATTTTGTTGATCATTTTAAAGAACCAACTTTTGGTTTTGTTGATTTTCTGTACTGCTTTTTAATCTCCTATTTCATACATTTCTGTTGTAATCTCTGTTATTTCTTTCCATATTTGCTTTTGGTTCAGTTTGCTCTTCTTTTTCTATTTTCTTAAGGTAGAAGTTTATATTACTAATTTGAGATTTTTCTTATTTTTAATATAGGTGTTTAGAAGTATAAATTTTCCTCTAAGCACTGCATGAACCCTGCATCTTATAAACTTTGATATGTTGCACTTTGATCTTTATCTCAATTACACTCTAATTTCCCTGTGATTTTTCTTTTCACCCATTGTTTTTTTTTTCTTCCTTTTTGTCTTTTTTACTGACCGGTAACGGGATCGCAACCCTCTGTGTTGCGCCCACACCGCGCTCAGCCAGTGAGCAGGAACCGGTCTCCACATGGGATTCGAACCCTCAGCGGGAGCGCCACCGCGCTCCCAAGCGGCGCCCTCTCCAGTGCGCCACTGGGCCAGCCCTCACCCATTGTTTTTTAAGGAAAGTGTTTAATTTTCATATGTTTGTGAGTTTTCTAAATTTCTTTCTGTTATTGTGGTCAGTGAACATATTTTCAATGGTCTTAGTCTTAAAAAAAAAAGGAAAAATTTAAACAAATGAAAACGTCATGGAAAGATTTCCAATGTCTTTCAATTCTATTTTCCATGCACTTTTTGAAGTGCCGTTGTGTTTATATTCTGTTTTACTGATTTTTCATGAAACTTATGTTGTTGAACTTAGATATTTAATTTCTGTTCTTTATTCCTTTTTATTAGTGGACTTTTTATTAAGTGGACTTGTTGATTTGCTTAGAAATTAATCTGCCTTTGAAAAATTTATTCATCTTCCTTTATTGAAATTAATTTGGTATTTGCATGCTTTGGAAGACTTCAGAGAGCTATTTCAAATAATCATAGAGGTTATAAAATAAAATATGTAAATTTTAGTAAGTTTTACATCTCTAGTTTTTGTGAAAATTTGAAGCCTTACTTTCTACAGAGTATTCTGTTATTCATCTATTATTCAGTTTATGTATTTGTTATTAAAACAAATGTGCATATCCTTGTTAAAAAGAAAAAAAAATCAATAAAAATGTAAATGAAGTAAAAAAGAATAGGTATATCAAATACACAGTATATATATTTAAAATATTGAAAATAACAATAAATATTTCCATAATAAATAAACAGCACTCTTTTTCTCTGAGGAATGATTTTTCGTTTGTTGTTTACAAGATTTCTCTAGCTACAATAACCAGTAGATATCTTTTGTAGTAATTACTGAGCCTATGCAGTACCATGAACTTTAAGGGGGGAGAGTAACACATGGAGTATGTATATCTGCCTACAATAAATCACATGAAAGATTATAACAATTTTTTCACCCATTATTTCTAATGTATTTTGAATAAATCTCTGGACTTTAGGCTTAGGCGTTCTCTCCACAGACATCTAAAACAGGGTTGTATGAGGGTAAATACAGAACAATAAGAAAAAAACCCAACCTCAAAGTTTCCCTATCACAAAACCCTTTCAGTGAAAGGCAGAGATAGGTTTTATAGGGGTTCAGTGGAGATAGCAACAAAACTTAGGTATCTGTAAAATCATATGTAAGTAGCTTACTGAAAACAGAAGTGGCCTCTACAAAACAACAACAAAAAACAACCCAAGAATCAGGAAGAAATAGAGCAATATAAATACATATCTATGGACTATTTAATTACAGCTCCTACTCACTGTGTGAATGAACCACCATTATTACCCTTTCATTTTTTTCCCTCAAATCCATTAGGTCAGATGATTTCTTCATTTCTCTTTAAGGGATAAATCTCTTAATTACTGATACTTTTCTTACTTACCTTCCTTTATGTTTCTGCCAAAATTTATCCACTGGAGTTAAATCATAAGACTTCTTGCTCTTTCTCTTTGGTCTAGCACCAGCTGGAGAGTTTTCTACTCCTGAAGATTCTTCCAAATTAACTCTGTTTAAGTGGAAATCCTAGGAAAAAGCAACCCTGTTTTAAATAACTTTTCTGAATTTAAGAGCCAGAACATTTCCTACAACAAGTAGGAAAAAGCAACCCTGTTTTAAATAACTTTTCTGAATTTAAGAGCCAGAACATTTCCTACAACAAGAAAAATAACTGACATAGTTTTTTGCTGTCCTTTCTAAGTATTTCCAAGGATAAAACATAGATCTGAGATTTAAAAGATCTACTTCTAATCTTTTGTTATTTACAAATGTACTTTTGTTTATGTATTTTTTTTTCCTTTTTGTCTTTTTTACTGACCGGTAACGGGATCGCAACCCTCGGTGTCGCGCCCGTACCGGGGACCAGCAATGGGATCGCAACCCTCGGTGTTGCGCCCACACCGCGCTCAGCCAGTGGGCGGGAACCGGTCTCCACGTGGGATCCAAACCCTCGGCGGGAGTGCCACCACACTCCCAAGCGGCGCACTCTCCAGTGCGCCACTGGGCCGGCCCTTGTTTATGTATTTTAATAAAAGTAGTAAATAGATATGATTAAAATTTCAAATAATATATAAAGAGAAAAACCATGTTAAGGTTCTCGTGTATCCTTCTAGAAAAATATTTACGCATTTAGAAGCATATACATAACCTTTCAATTTTACTTTAAAAAAATGGGATATTATACATATTTTGTACTTTCTTTTGTCATTTAATAATGTATTTTAGAACTCTTTCTATATTTGTATTTGTACATCTACCTCCTCTTTATCTTGGCTACATAGTAGTCCAATGTTTAGCTGTATCAATTTATTTGACCAGGTCTCTTGATGCTTGATTGTTTCCAGTAACCAACATAATCTTAAATGCAATTTTTTAACTCTTGGAGAGTTTTAACATTTTGTGTTACTTGATTGATGAATTGCATTTAAAAAAAATTATGACAGAAGTTACACTCCCTTTCACATAAATCCTAACAGACAGTCAGACCAGTAGATGCTAAACTTTTCTGACTAAGACTAATTTTACTCATGTGAGGTTTGATTATTTTGCCTTTTTTGGAAAAAAAAAATAATAATAGGTAAAAATAAAAGTAAATATCTTTCCCATCCTTTCTCCCCCTTCTTGCTTTAGATCTGTGGGTTCTGTCATATAATAGCAGTATTTTGTGGTTTAACTCTACTCAAGAATATTGAAAAATCACTATCAACAAGTGAGTGAATGATGAGCAAGAAATAAATTATATGAAGAAACTATCAAGCATGAATGTGATACAATCATCTTAGTTCAAGAACAAACAAGAGTTCAGAAGCTTTGAGACAACAAGTTACCCATTAGACATTATTTGCCATCCACTACTGCACAATGGGTACATATATATATATATATTTTATATATTTATACACACACACACTCACACACCAGATGACTATAATGTAAAGGAGAAAATAATTGTCCATCCCTTTCCCTGAGGGTAATTATTCTTTGCAGCTGAACAATAAAATTCACCCCTCCAAGATATAATAAAAAGGAATAATGACTTCCTAACTACTAATTTTGCTTCCTATATCCTAATAAAAAAGAAAGGGTCACTGCAAAGTTTTTTTTACCAGAAGAGTGTATTTCCCATTTTAAATGACAAAATCATCTTTCTGACACAAAGGGAAGCTATGTGAATTTTCATAGTTGTTTCCAAGGTCTAATATATAAATAATTATCAATGGTCTAGATTTTCAGGCAAAGACATTTAATATAAAAAGCAAATTGCAATTTTAAGTTAACATTTCCTATCTAGAACTTTTACTCCATCTTGTGGAGGCAAAGGGTATAATTATTAAGAATTTTAAAAGCTCTGAAGAAACTTCAGAAGTAGGAGTTTTAATAATCAATAAAAAAATGGCATGGTTACAATTTATGAATCTCAGTTATAGTTTGTTCATGTCTAGAAACTGCATTAAAATTAATAAACAGGGCCGGCCCGATGGCGCACTGGATAGTGCGCCGCTTGGGAAGCGCGGCGGCGCCCCCGCCCGCGGGGTCGGGCCCCACGTAC